GGGAGGTCGTGGTACGCAGTCGAGCAGTTGCCGTCCAAGGCGCAGGCTTCGCACGGCGTGAGAGTCGTTGGGTCGAAGCGCGCGTGTACGCTTAGCAGCAGCAGCACGAGACTGATGAACGTCTTCTTCATCTTGGCGAGTTTAATTGTGGCGATGGCAAAGCCAAGCGGTCATGAGCGCCTCGCTTTTTCAAACGAATGCTTTTTAACAAAGCAAAGAGTATTTTTAATGCTTGTGGCCGTGGCCTATACTTTAACCAAGTTGATGTGGTTGGTTCATTGCAATACATAGCGTTATTTAAGACGGGATAAAAACCGCAAGATCGTCACGCAGAACGTCCAGCAACAATCAACCGCAGGACAGTCCGACACCGCTGTCCTTTGCAGAACCAGAGATACCAAAGAATGAAGCAAGGTCTGCTGTTGCTGCTAGCGACGCTACTCGTGAGCGTGAGCGCGAAGGCGCTTGACGTGCCTATGGCGACCGACATGTGCGAGCTCTGTGCCCGCGACGGCAACTGCTCCACTGCGCACCGCGGCCAGCCCGGTCAGTACTGCGGCGCGTACATCAAGCACGAGTTCCAAGAAGTGTGTTGCTGCGGCACCAACCAGGTGTGCGGACGCCCAGCGATCGACCTCCAATGCGAGTGCACATCGATCGTGGTCGAGAAGGCGCCCAGCAGCGACGTGTCACAATTCACCATACTCCTCGGGGTGATTATCGACTTGGTCATTATCGGCGGACTCTTCTGGGCCGTCTACTACTGCTGCTGCCACGCCCAGACGTAGTAGACAAGCAAGTATAAAACACACACATAGTACGGAATCGCAATGTCTACAATTGCAATTCAACCGCGAACGATCGGTGTACGGATGGCCAAGCGTACGCAGGCAAAGGCAACAACTACTAGCAGCAACCAACGACGTGCACAACAACGCTACGTCCTCGAGCACATTGTGGCAGCGGCCAACACCCAAGGAAATCCGGCCGACGATGCGAGTATCATACGCGTGGGTCTTGTTATTAGGGAGCATACTTGTTTCGCATTGGCCCACTTTCCACTGGCGACTCGATAGCGCTATTTGTCTCGTCCACGAGCAGCGTATTGGCAGTCGAGTCCTGTCGCGACGGAGCCTTGGTGGCGCGGTGTTCAAACCGCAAACGAACCGCTGCAGCGCAACGGCCCGCGGCAGACACCGCATACGCCCAAAAGCGCTTGCAATCTTGAACGCGACTTGGCAAGTCAACGCAACAACCGAATACGAAGAGCATGAAGACACCAGTGCCCATCGCAATCTCGAAGATGTTGAGCAACGACCCAACAACGATTTCAAAGAGCGACTCTGGCGGCGTCACCGGTGTGCCGTCACGCAATGTTGCTGTGCACTCGCACTGGAGGTCGTCCGCGGGCTTGCTGCACGCTTGTTGTGCGCCGCAGCAGCA